TAATTGAACAATTCATTTTTTCTTTTTGAGTATCTGACAACCTAGGTAAGTGTACCTGCTGTAAATACTTATCTATATCTTCATAACATATATTTTCTGAAGCATATAAATTAGAATAAAAATCTAAAAAAGTCTTTTTAATCAAATTTTGTTGATATGTCAGTTTACCATTATAGTCTATTTTCTCTATAGTCCTTGACTTTTGCTTTTTTCTTAAATGATAAGCCAACCACCTTCCAGGTTTGTTTGCGTTACAAAATGTATTATGTTTCATATACCTTAAACTAGTTGCAGTCTGATCTGCTATTAACATATTAAATTGGTCCCTAAGCACCTTTAAGGATATTTTCAAGTTATTATCCAATGGGTTTAACATAAATGCTTGCTCTTTGAATTTAATTTCCTCCTCTAACTCTTTACGTTTTTGCATTTGTGTATGCCTATAAAAATTATTCATATAAATCAAATTACCTCGCATATAAGCTTTGCTCACATCCCAAACCATTGAGATTGAGGTACCTTTTTAAATATTTAACAAGAAAAATTCTTTCAATTGATCTCTACATTTCTGCACATTAATATCATATCTAAATAAATTTTCATTCAATCTCCAAGTTCTTCTATTCCGTTCTTCAGCAAATAGTTCCATCCATACAGGACTATGATCTGACAATATTCTAGGAAAGATCTTAATATTCTTCACCCTAGAGGAGAAATCATTGGTAATTTAAAAAAAATCAATTCTAGAATAGGATTGATGCCTATCCGAGAAAAAGGTAAAGTCTCTTTCTTCCATATTTCTCTTTCTCCAAATATCTTTTAATTCCAGTTCATCTTTCAAGTCAAACAAAGTTTTAGGCAATAAAGAATCAAATGCTTTACAAGAGCCTTTCTTGTCTCTTCTTGCATCCAAAACACCATTCCAATCTCCCATTATAATAACCGATTTATAATCCATTTGATTTATTTTCCGATGTAGCAATTTGTAAAACTTTTTCTGTTGTTGATTTGGTGCATATAGTCCAACAATCAAACATTTTTCCCATTCAACAGTATATCAATAAAAACATATCTTCCTTCCAAATCAGATTCAATCAAGTTAGGCGACAACTCACTCTTGACATAAATAACTACCCCACCTCTCTTCTGAGGTGCGGGCGTTATAAACTGTAAACCCAATCGTGGATTAAACAAAAGTTTTTGATCCTTTGCTGTAATATGAGTTTCTTGTAAACAAACAACATCATTTTTATGTTGTTTCAAATAATAAAATATTTTCTTCCTTTTCTGTGGAGAATTCAAACCATTAACATTCCATGTCAAGAACTTTGCCATCCTTAGTGACAGCGAGCCTCTGGAACACTCCTTGAAGATCAGCCATCACTGATCTCTTCGGTCTCGCTCCCCCCACTGGCTCTAAAGTTACTTGCTGTGTTATAGGTGTCGCTTCCAATTGTTGTTGCTCTCTCTCTTTGCGTCTATGGGCTGCACGGGTCATCCTCTGTGATTTTGGGTCTTCTTTCATTTCCATAAGTTGCTGCTTGGCATGGCCTTGCTCTTGTAAATCTTTACTTAATGATGATGACATGGCTCCTTCTACAATTTTATCTTCTCTGATTCCTTCCTTCCTGGAATCTAAAGGTGGTAATGAGCCCGCTTTCAATATAGAGATATAAAAATCCCTTGCCTTTGCGACAGTATTAAGCTGATAGCGGGTTCCCATATAAATGACCGTTATCCCAATAGGTATCTCCCATCTAAATTGAATTTGTCGCTTCTTCAGTTCTTCAGCCAGGAAGGCAAAATCTTTCCTTCTTCTAAGTATTTTAGATGGTATCTCCTTCAAAATTATAACATCTTGGCCTAGTAGTTGAAATTTTTGATTATAGAAAGCTTGAATAATTTGATTATGAATAGACTTCCTTGAAAAATAAATGACCACATCTCTTGGAAGATTCCTCTGTCTTGCAACCCATGAATTAACTCTGAAAATTTTTTCCACATCTCTCATAATTTCTTCAGGTTGACAAGACAAGACCCCAGCCAGGTCTACTGCAATTTCCTCCAATTTCTCTTGAGCGTTTTCTTTCAGCCCTCTTATTCTCACTGCATATTCCATTTCTTTATATTGTGACATAATAACTTCATTTTGAATCAAATCCACATTCTCCTCCACTTTTTCCATTCTAATATCCAAGCACCCCAAATTTTCTTCCACCTCATCCACCCTTCCTTCAATACGTTCTGCATGCCCAGCCAGGACTTGAAATGCTAACAGTATATCATCTCTCAGCTCTACATTCTTCTCTTCAAACTTCTTTTCAAACAAATCTTCCATATCTATTCTTATTTGTCTTTCAGTGTCCTTTAATGCATCTTGAATATCTTTCAAAGTAAGTGCTGGGGCTGGAGTTGGGGCTGGGGCTGGGGGGGAAGGTGGAGGACTCCTTATTTTAGGTGGGGGACTCCTTGATTTAATTTGCTGTGGTATTTGAACAACAGAGGGGGAAATAGTCTTCTGAGGAACAAAGGCTCCACGCTTAGAAGCCATTTTCCCCCCCTTTTCCCCCCCTCTTCCTTTCCCTTCTTATATTTTTATATAGAGTCTTATAAAAGTCTTTTAAAAATACTATAAGATTTTGTAAAAGCACCCAGCCACAATAAAAGCAAAAAAAAACAAACACCTGTTCAGTCCATACAATGTAACTAATAGAAAGTCCAGAAGAAAGTTTCTGAAATGAAAGTCTCACATAAGTTCACTGCGGAGGAAAGAGAAAACGCCCTTCCGCAACCATATTCTTTTCTTCAGATTCAATTGAAGAAAGCAGAAGAAGATTTTAAGTTTAGAGTTAAGGTTTTAACAAAAATCCCCATCAGATCTTCCTGGCAGGCTCCGTCTGCCTTTAGAAAAAAAAAACTCACGCTCTCATTGAAGGCAGAGATTGAATCCGCGTCTTGCTTCAGACGAGCAGTCGAACGAAGGCAGCCCGAAGAATGGAGAAGTCCCTAGCTCCGGGGGAGCTCACCTTCACCCCCAACACTTTAAAAGTGTGGGGGCTAGAGCGCTCTACCCCTACTAGGGAAACTCACCTCTCTCCCTTTGCCCGGGGGAGAGGATTCCGAACCGCGGGACAGCTGATGAACGCTGTTTCCCGCGGCTCACATTTCTTCGGGGAGGGCTGCCTACAGAGAAGCTGCCATCGGCGCCGGCGATTCAACCGGAAGTCAGCAGGCGGTGTTCTTGAACAGGGCAACAGTGGATCACTTCGAGTGGAGCCTGCATCCAGATCTCCTCTGGGAGATATTGGAGAGGTTCAGTTTCCACTACTGGATTCATTCATTACTCCAGCAAATTCCACGGTGCTTCTGTGGGACAATCCTTGGCTCAGCATCCCATGGTGCGCCCCTTTGTTAAGGGAGCAATCAACACCAGACCACCCGGGGTTCACAGATATCCCTTGGGATCTGTCCAGGGTCCTACAGACCCTCACTTCACCTCCATTTGAGCCGTCAGAACCTACTCTCTGAGGTACCTGACGCTTAAGGTCGCCCTTTTCGTGGCCTTACATCAGCTTGGCGCATTTCTGAACTGGCAGCTCTGTCTATCAAGGATGACTTAGGCATCTCCCATGTTGACAGGATGGTCCTGTGATTGGATCCCTCTTTCGTTCCCAAGATCAATTCTTTGTGTCACAGGGCGCTGGAGGTTGTGCTGACAGATGTTTGCCCTCAGCTGTCTCACGACTTGGAACGTAAGTGGCACATCTTGAATGTTCGCTGAGTCTTACGTCACTACGTTATGCGTGCGCACCTTTTTGCAATCTGCAGCCCTCTTCGTTGCATTCCAGCCCTCTTCAATGGGCCTGATGGTATCTGCCTCTACCATTGGCAGATGGCTTAGGGCTTACATGGCAGTACCTGGCACACTCCTTGCTGGTTCCCAGTCAGATCACCGCACACTCGACTCGCTGTGCTGCACCCTCAGAGGCGTGGGCGACACAGGCGTCGATCGCGGAAACTTGTAGGGCAGCGACGCAGACGTCGCCTTCATCTTTTGCGAGGCATTATAACCTGGTAGGTTCGCTTTGGCGGATGTCATTTTTGGTTGGAGAGTTCTCCGCCGAGTAGTGCCAGATAGTGGGACACAGGCCCAGACTGCTTCCCACCCATGGGGACAGTGAGGCTTTGGTATGTCCCATCTGTGTGGATTCTCCATCGATCATGCTGGAGAAGGGGCGTTGTCTTACCTGAACGCCTTTTCTCAGCATGACGATGGAGAATCCACTCCCCCCCCATTTAGGTCCGTCAGGTCCTGTGTCGGGTATTTGAGACACCACATGGTAATGTCATCAACGGCTATGCCTTCGTCGAGACTGGATCCTTAGCCCAGAGGAAGAGGCATGGCAAAGGTTGATTGACTTAGTCTCTGGGCAGGAAGACAAGGATCAACCCCATCTGTGTGGATTCTCCATCGTCATGCTGAGAAAAGGCGTTCAGGTAAGACAACGCCCCTTTTCAGAAGTGAAAATTATATGCATATACATATATCAACAACAATCTTTCTTTCCAATTACCTTTAGCATTTTGGGGAAGAGGCATGCCTTCCTTAAAATATGTTTATAATTTCATATTATCCTGCTGTAGACAATTTTGCCATCTAGTGTATCCTGAATATTCATGGAAGATTACAGAAATGGTTTTAGTTATCATTTTATTTTTCACATTGTAATCTTACCCTCCCTATAAAATGCTTTTTCTTCATAGATCACTATATGAAATAGTTCAGCTATTTATAGTTTACCAAGGGCATTCAGTAAAAGTCATACTGATAATGGGAATCTACGTTTTCCAGATACATTCTTTCCACATTGTGAATTAGAACCTATAGAAGGGGAAAGAAAGAAAGATACATTCTTTCCACAATGTGAATTCAATCTTATAGCAGGGGAAATTTTATTTAAAACTCATACAGTTTTTGATTGTTTCTTTTATTTTCCCAGAATCTTTCACTGTTATTAATAAAGAATCATGTGATGAAGAGAAAGGACTTGTACATTTCCAAGTATGTGAAGGTACCTCGCAGTCTGAGCCTTCCTGTTCAGCAGTCAGAGTAACTGGAAATAAAAACTTCAGAAATAAAGCTGCTCAAGAAAGTGATTTGAAAAAGATGCATGAAGAGGAACACCATCAGCAAATGTCTATTTTACAACTGCAACTGATCCAAATGAATGAAGTCCATGTAGCAAAAATTCAACAGATAGAAAGGGAATGTGAAATGGCTGAAGAAGAACACAGAATCAAGATGGAAGTGTTAAACAAAAAAAAAATGTACTGGGAAAGAAAACTTCAGACCGTTACAAAAGAATGGCCTGTATCATCTTTTAACAGGCCATTCCCTAATTCACCCTAGTACACGCAGCAGCTGGTAGTTCATTAGACTGAAGTAACTTGATCATTGGAAAATAGTTTGAGACTTAGGTTCAATTCCTGTATTTAGAATGATGGAATAATTGTTGGCTGTGAATAAATGTCAAGAAAGGCCTAAAATAGAGATTAGATAGGTTTTCGTTTAATAAAACAACGAAGAAATTTCCATATTTTTGGAGGTAAAATGTTGATGTAACTTTTTAATGGAATTTCTGAGTATGCCCAGTAAACCCAGTCTTTTCCATGGTAGTCAGATCGATCCAATTGGGCATTTTATGTTATTTTTGTAGCTGAATTTTTCAATTATTTAATGATGAATGTATCTTAAGGTACAGTTATTAAGACTTGTAGAGTGACCCAATTGAACTATCAAGCAAGGTAAAAAGGGTGGTAATAGAGCTGTACAAGAAAAGGAATTCAGATTTCCAACAGTTGTCTGTTCAGTCATAGTTATAATTGTGAAATACTAGAAATGTATGTTCTCCCCTTTCTGCCTTCACTTCTGTCTTGACAGATCATCTAGTCTATTGCCCTTGATTTGCATTGCATGGCACAATCAGTCCACTAGCTGATAAAATTCATACTGGCATCTGGCCTGCAGTAAAAAGAAATAACCCACTTCTATTTGCAGCCTAGTCCTATGAATGTTTTATCCAAGTAAATGCATACAGAGTTCATAGTTTATTAATTTTGTGCAAGCACTGCTTGTAAATGTTTGTGGCATCCTGCTACTATGTACACACAAACTACTGGATACATGTTTACAGGCACACAATGTTTGAAAGTAGCCCTTGTGGAGCTTTTACCTTTGAACAGATTAATAAAAGTTGAAAGAAACAAGTACAATATGAAATACAAAGAAAACTTTTCTAGCTTTAAAATAGCTAGTAGCCTGGAATGTCCACAGTTCATATGTAGCGTTATTAAATCAGACTAATCAGCAGAAATGGTATGGACTAGCATTTTTTCAGAGTAGGAATTCTGTTGTGTTCATTGGGTTTCCTTCTGGAGATTTCTAGAAACATTTTTTTCACTCCATTCATTTCTGCTGGTCACTGGCTTGAAGCTTATTAAAAACATTACTAAATCTTTTTAATATCTGAATAGTAGGCTAAAGCTATTATTCATAGAAAGCTACCAATAAAGCAAAAGTGAGGCACAGCTCATTTTTGAAGGAACAATCTTGTGGCTATACAACCACCTTAACATACTTTTAATTACTTAGTCTATTCTCCTTTTGGGTAGTTCTAAATTAACAAAAGGACACTGCTTTCCTATCCAGGTTTATAGGTGGAGTTGTAATGAATGCTGTAAACAACCTGAATCCAGAATTTAAACATTTGCTTGTTGACCAGCTTGTGTGTTGAATTTAGTTAAAGCAGTGGAGCCTTATCCTTTGTAGAACAGAATGTCCAAAACTAAAACATTTAAACATTTCTTTGTATTATTTGGTTTTGGCTTAGACTAAGAGGCAAAAACATTAAAATTTTTAAAGCAACTAACTACATTTTGAATACAAATCTATTATAAAAAAATCAGTGCAAACTATAGTTCAAATTTTGCATTAAGTAAATTATTTTTGTTACTGGTATGAATGATACTGTATATTTCCATAGCATACATTTTATTTTTTTCTAATGATTGGACATTATGCTACTGACAACAGAAAATTATGGATAAAAGATTTCACTTCATTCAACACATACATTGAAGTTATATTTACAGCTTTAGTGACTATTGGATTATGTTTTAAATATCACATTTGTTATTTTTCTTGAATACATAACATACAAAGACCCAATTAATACTTCTGGTATTATAAGGAAGAAGAAATTAATTTTTATATATTCTAAGTTTACATTTACTGTGGGTAAAAAAAAACCCCTACAGGTAATTCCCGAGTTGTGAACGTTCCCTTAGCGAACATTCAAGATTATGCGATAAGCACCCCCTAGTGCTTATGAGCAATTCCCGAAATTATGAATGTTGCCACACCATGGCAGTCATTCACCCTTACAAATGACTGCAGTGGCACTGCAACATTCACCTTGGTTATTCTCTAGGTCTCCCTAGGCACTAGGCCTTCAGTACTCACCCTGTGAAGAATGAGATCCTTCACTTTCTTGGCTGCTCCAGGCCCTTGGTGCATTCGCAGAGAATGGAGACCTAAAGTAATGCAAGATCACATAAGATTAGTGGTGCGAGATCTCATGCTACTGATCTCATGGTATTTTAGGCCTCTATTCTTTGCAACAAAGAATGGAACTGAAGTTGGGACGCTTCCACATACCTCCAGAGGCTGGATCCGGGTGTTGAAGGCCTTTTCCGGGCTGCTGCTGCCTGGATCTGAGGTTGGGGGACACTTTTGCGGCACTCCAGGGCCGGATCTGGGCGTCAGAGGCCTTTTCCAGGCCGCTGCCACCCAGATCTGAGACTGGGGGATGTTTCTGCGTGCCTCCAGAGGCTGGATCCGAGTGTCGGAGGCCTTTTCCAGCCTGCTGTCGCCTGGAAATGAGCCTCCAGAGGCATGTGGAAGCATCCCCAGGCCTTTCTTCTGGGCAGCAGCAGCCTGGATAAGGCCTCCAATGCCCGGATCTGGCCTCTGGAGGGCAGCGGAAACATCTCCCGGCCTCAGAATCCAGGCAGCAGTGGCCTGGAAAAGGCCTCCGACACCCGGATCCGGCCTCTGGAGGGCAGCGGAAGCATCCCCCAACCTCAAATCCGGGCGGCAGCAGGAACCGCGGCAGAGAGGAGAAGGATCTTTTCAAGATGAGTCCAGCACGGCAGAAAGGGCAGGGGAAGCATGAGGTATCTTAGTGGGTTGGGGAAGCCTTGGGGGCCTGATCCATCACTAGGCCCTCCATGATCTTCCCCACCTTGAGATACCACACGTGCGGTTAATGAACAGCGCATTCGCCCGTGCATTCGATTAGGGAATGCGTGGGCAAAAGGGAGTGAATCAAGTTTAAGGTATGAACGGTAGTATCCATTACATTTGTAACTCGGGGACTGTGTACATAAAAGTTAATGAAATCATAATTTTACATAACAAATGACTGTCATTTTATTATTTTTATATTTCCAAATAATTGTGTGATTTTTCCAGTCAGTTCAGTAGTATTTTTCAGTGGCCTAATTTGATAAAAACATTAATCATGTCTTTGAATTTTAGTTTGTTCCAAACTTGTGTTTGTTTATTTGTAATAGTTGAATATTGAGAAAAAGTCTTTTCCAAACTATCTATAGACTATTCTTATTGAATGAGATTATGATCTTTTCTTTTTTTAATTTACTATTTTTAAATAAACCAAGCTAAATAAAAATAATGGAATTATTTTTAAAAAACCAAATAAATGGGTAAAAGACCCAAAGAATCATCAATATTAAGATATGGCTGAAAATGAAAGACAAAATAAGGCATGCAATTATTTAATTCTAATCCGGAACTAATGTGATAAAGACAAAATCCAAAGCAATAAAATTAAGCATACTCAGGGGAATGAGCAAATTGGGACTTTTCAAAGGTTATGTCAACCACTGTTTAATACAAGGAATGAAATGTAATTTTTAATTTTGACTTTTGACTTTTGAGTGAGTCTTGTTGAGGTTAACAGTCTTCCTTTTTGTGATTCCATTGGAAATATACTAAATACCTTAGCAGAAGCGCTAAATATTTGGCTCAACTTGTTCTATACAATTTCAGTCATGAAGATAAATTTGTATCGATATTTGTTTAATAACTGTATGTTTAACAGTTTTTAAACTTCTCTCTGCACTACTGATATTTAATCTGTATAGATATTCTGAATCATAGTTTCAGTTCAATCCCTGCATATTTCAGAGCAGGATACTTACAATTATAGATGAGTTAATAGACTGCACAAATATCTTCATAAATGACTTAGATGAGGGACTTGAAGGGGAACACATCAAATTTGCAGATGACACTAAACTGGCAGAGTATCCAATATTCCAGAAGACAAACTCAGGATCCAAAAACATCTTGACAAACTTGAACAATGGGCCCTATCCAAAAAAATGAATTTCAATGTGGAGAAAAGCAAAGTTTTACATTTAGGCAGGAAAAATCAAAGGTACAATTACAGATCAGATGAGACCTGGCTTAAAAACAGTAACTGTGAGAAGGACCTTGGAGTCCTAGTGGATGATCACTTGACTATGAGCCAGCAGTGTGCAGCAGCAGCCAAAAAAACCCTAATACAATCCTGGGTTGTGTAAACAGGCATAGAATCAAGATCACGTGAGGTATTAGTACCGCTTTATAAAACCCTAGTAAGACCACACCTGGAATACTGCAGCCAGTTTTGGTTACCATACTACAAAAAAGAAGTTGAGAGTTTGGAAAAAATTCAGAGAAGAGCAACTAAGATGATCAAAGGCCTGGAGACTAAAACATATGAAGAACGGCTGCTAGTCTAAAGAAAGGAAGGAATAGGGGAGACATGATAGCAGTGTTCCAGTATCTGAGGGGCTTCCATAAAGAAAAGGGGATAATGTTATTCTCCAAAGCATCAGAGCGCAGGACAAGAAACAATGATTGAAAACTGATCAAAGAGAGAAGCAACCTGGAATTAAGGAGAAACTTCCTAACAATGAGGACAATTAACCAGTGGAACAGCTTGCCTTCAGAAATCATGGGCCTCCATCACTGGAGATTTTAAGAAGAGGCTGGTCACTTGCCTGAGATGGTATAGGTTCTCCTGCTTGAGCAGGGGGCTGGACTAGACGACCTCTAAGATCCCTTCCAGCTCCTATTCTAGTCTAGTCTATTCTAAACTATCAAGTTGAATGCAGTGACTAGCACTCACTGCTTAATTGGTCACCAGTTGTCCAGATTGCTGTTCATTTTATATTCAATTTCTAGTGAATGTCCCATAATATGTAGCACATTGTTCTCATTATGCTATATCTTGATTTCTATCACTAGGTATCATTAAAATTTATAAATGTCAAATCTCAGCATGGACAAAGAGAACCTTGAAGTAGCAATATCATGAAGATAAGATATAGAAATAACAATTTGTTGAGTATCTATTTCTGCTACCATATTCACCGAGTTCTGGTTGTGTAAGTTTATGGCTGGTGGCATACACCATGCTAACCTAAAATGTGATTTGTTCAATTTAGCTTAGCCACTGGCTTATACATCAGAATTGATGGTTTAGCATTATGTATGATATAACATTTAAGACGTTTGTGTGGCTTCAGTATTGGTGCAAATAGGACAATTCCATCATTTGTTTC